CACTGAAGCGGGGGGGGGGGGGGGGGGCGGGGGAGGGAGTAAAAGTTCCTCGGAATATACTTGGGAACACACTAATGTCTGCTTAAAATAGAGAGTATTTCAAATATGACAAACCCTTTGCTCTTTTGGGCTTCTGAAGTCATAATAAGCTACATGTATATGGTATGTTTATTTGGATATGTATGTATATAGTATAAAAGACAGAAGGATGAGAAGTATATAAAATTGAAATAATATACATTGAACTGTTTTACAGCCACCTACCTCAGTGTGCAGCGAGACCTGTCCTGCAGGATTCCGGAGAGCAGCTATAAAGGGACAACCTATGTGCTGCTTTCAATGCATTCCCTGTCCTCTTGGGGAGATCTCCAACCATACAGGTAAGTCCAAATAATGGTGAATAAATATGTTGAGTGTAATAAAATAATAACAAGCAAGCTATTTTAAGCAAAAAATGTTTTTTTTCTACATTTTGAATAGATTTATAAATGTTTAGAACCTCTATCAGGTTTTTTGATCTTTCCCATTGGGGGGATTGACCCCCATGTACTGTCCTGGAAACCCAACAGGAAGTAAGTGTATATCTCTCTAAGGGTCGCCGTGCACATTACAGTCTGACCACATAATCTTTACACAACCAACTAAGTAATACAAGGACCCACCTTAACTATCTAATCAATATGTATCCAATAGAGCAGGCCCTTGCACTCCATAGTTGTTGGGCAATCTATAGTACAAGGAATAATGAACAATGGGGTTTTATCGGTAACTGTCCCCAACATAGTTTGCAACATACAAGTATGTACATAAAAACATGAAAAGTTTATTTATACAGTTTAAAACCACATTTTAAAATCACTTAAACATGTGCAGATAGAGCCCGTCTCATTTCCTGGATGGAGGATGTCCAGAATCATCTAGCCCAGAGTTGGGCAACTCCAGCCATTCAGCTGTGCTTTATCTACAAATTCCAACATGCTTCTGGGAGTCATGCCTCTAACTGTCAATCTTCCAAAGCCTCATGGAATTCCAGCTGGAAGGCCGGAGTTGCCCACCCCTGATCTATCCCTTTCCTCCCCAGCCTGATTGTCCTCGGCCTGCTACTTTCATGTATTGGATTTCAATCATGGAGGCTGAGCATAAAATGTGGGCATTACCTAGGGTGGTCTGCATGCAGTCTGCTTAGGAAGACCCACTCCTCCAGACTGATGTCTATTTGTAAGGCATTTTGATATTTGCATAACTCCACCCCCAGCCTGAGCCCATTGCTTGCATCAGGGCTAAGGCTCTTGAGAGGAGTACAGAGGCAAGGAGCTTTGATGCTTTCCGGAAGCTATGTACAGCACTCTCCCCCATGATCTGTAAAGAGAAGAACAGAGACCCAGTGATGACATCACCAGGTCAACAATGAGGTAAATAATGAAAATGGAACGGTTTTATTTAAAAGATTCATCAACATGTTCAAGAGGAAGGAAATGAGAGAAGACAGAAAATAAGCAGATTAAATTTCAGATTCATTGTCCCTGCTGGTGACACACTATTTAAATAAAGATAAAACAGATTCCAAAGGCAGCCGAGTGAATAACCGAGCCGAAGTGAAGTGAGCCGAACACTGTTCGGCTATTCACTTCTGGCTTGTACGGCTGATTTCAGCCGTACATCGGCTGCCTTCAGCTGCACTTCGGTTAGCCGAATATGCTGTGCATGTTCAGCTGAGCCGAAGTGCAGAAGGACTTCGACTCAGCCGTTCCAACATCTGTAATTTGCAGGGCTTACGGCCGGCCTTCGGCAGGCCGTTCGCCCTGCTTTGGCTGTTACTTCGGCTCAGTTGAGCCGAAGCATATGCCTTCGGCTCGGCTAAGCCGCTCGGCCGCCTTCGGCTGCTGTACGGGCTATAGTGAATATTGTGAATAGCCCGTACAGCAGCCCTTTGGTTCGACTGAACCGAAGGATCAGCCGAAGCTATGGCTGTGTCCTTCAGCTCCTGCGTGAATAACCCCATTAAGTGTTATAAACAACTTCTTTTTAAAAGAACAATGAGTTTTAATTAGCTCAGGGTCTTCTTAGGAATTCCTATTTGAGTGCAATTATCACCGCCATCCTGTATATTTTCTAGAAACATGAAATTGATTGTAAGACATCTTTTCTGTTCCAGATTCCATTGATTGCATTCAGTGTCCATGGGACCAGTGGCCAAACTCAGAAAAGAACAAGTGCCTCCAGAAGACCATAGAGTATCTCTCTTATGAAGATGCCTTGGGAGCAACTTTGACCTCCACCTCTCTCCTTTCCTTTTCCGTTCCTGTGGTTATTTTACAGTTTTACATTAAGTTTAAAATTACCCCCATAGTGAAAGCAAATAATTATTATCTAAGTTGCCTTCTGCTTGTGTCGCTCTCTCTTTGCTTCCTTTGCTCGTTGTCTTTCATTGGGTATCCAGACTTCAAGAAATGTCTTTTGCGCCAAATTGCTTTTGGGTTGATTTTTGCTCAGTGCATCTCTTGCATTTTGGCCAAAACTATCATGGTAGTTTTGGCTTTCATAGCCACCAAACCTGGTAGCAATCTCAGGAAATGGACCAAACCCACAATATCCTATGTCATTGTTTTGTCATGTACTTGTTTACAGTTGCTCTTGTGCCTCACTTGGTTATGCCTGTCTCCTCCATACTCCCAGTACAATATTCATGTCAAGCCTGGTGTGATCATTGTTGAGTGCAATGAAGGCTCAGATGTTGCCTTCTGGGCTATGTTGGGTTACCTGTTTCTCCTGGCCACCATTAGTTTCATCGTTGCCTTCCTGGCACGAAGGCTTCCTGACAGCTTCAATGAGGCCCAGTTTATTACATTCAGCATGGTGGCCTTTCTCAGTGTCTGGATATCTTTCATCCCAGCATACCAGAGTGCACAAGGAAAGTACATTGTGGCCATGGAGATCTTTGCCATCTTGGCCTCCAGTTGGGCTCTTGTGATCTTTATGTTTCTACCTAAATGTTTAATCATTTGGTTTAAGCCTGACAGGAACACAAGGGCATATCTCATGAGAAAATGTTAAGCAATAAGTAGGCTATGAGCTTCTAAATACAAGAAATGGGTTTTCAGTAAATGTTTTGCAGACCTGGGCAGTTTAAAATGAGCACATGAGGATAAAATGCATAAGCTCAGCTAACGTATTAAGACCGAATGCCAAACTATTGAGTCAATCCAGAGATACAATTTGCTAAAGATATGTGCACATCATAAATTTTTGTAAGGTTTTCTCACCTTGACACAAGGTCAGTGAAGAAGAAACAAGAATAGATAGGCAATGCTTCAGGTCATCGGCAAGAGGGTAACAAGGCTCTTTGATGGGACTGGACTTATTTAAACGAATCTAGCTAACATAGAGATAACACTTCGAGGCAAAATCAGATTTACCAAAATTTGCCCTTCGTCCCTAGACACAATACATTATAGATAATAAATAGTTAAAGAAGCCTGCTAAGATATAAAATAAAAAATTATTATGATTCTAAACAATACAATTATTATTACCTTTATCTGACCCTGGCGATGGAGCACAATTCCTCACACTGACACCACAGATGGGGGCACTACTCCTAACACTCACACCAATGGCCAAAGCATGACTGCTTCCACTGACAATTCCTGCCATTGACACATCATCATGCATTTTTGAAGTTTGTAGTTTTTCAGGTTCACTTGCCAAATGTTTGAACGTTGTACTTTAAAACATGATTGATAAAAATGATAATAAAAAATGTAAACATAACACATGCAGTACGTCTTATTTTGATTTGCCCTTTTCATGCTTTTGATTTATTGATTTATTACTTTAGCTTCAAATAAAGTCCCGTCAAGCGTCTTTTTTAATCAATAGAGATGAATGAATCTGCCTGGAATCATGAATATCTTGGCAAATTTTGCTTAAAGTTTTCATGAAAAACAATATTGAGGTCAATATGGTCCCTATGTGTGTTGTAAGGTAGTCACCGCTCCAAGCTTGCTCCCGTGAAGGACTACAATCTTAGGTTTAGTTTACTCATTTGTATTGAGATTGTTGTCCATCACAGCAGTGAGCTTGGAGCGGCGGTGACTACTTTACAACACACACAGGGACCACGGGGAACAAAAGTAGACCCCCTCCAGAAGGAAAAAGTCCATGAACTCATTGCACTCCTGACCACTTAATCCAAACAATATTTGGTGGGTGCAGTGGTGGTCGACGTATAGAGACCGTCATATGTACAAATGGGACACGGGCACACCAAATGCAGATCAAATGCGTCTATTTATTGATGTAGATGCAGCATATCACACAAATGTGCAACGTTTCGGGGACCCACAGGGACTTCCTGAGGAAGGGGATCCTGTGAGACCCCGGAACATTGCACATTTGTGTGATATGCTGCATCTACGTCAATAAATAGATGCTTTTGATCTGCATTTGGAGTGCCCGTGTCCCATTTCTACTTCTACCCTCCAGAAGGAAGGACAGTGTCAGCACCAATTCAGAGATGATTGGAGGATCTACAGCCGAGTGATATAAAAATAAGATACATTGTTGTTCATAGTTAAGGGACTCGAATGTATTCTTAAGATTTAACTCCTGAGTTTTAGTGTCACTTTAAAGCGTTAAAGCATGTATGAGATTTTTAGTGATGTGGGATATATATGTTAAATATACCAAAGTATGTCCTCTAACATAAAATTAAGGTGACCTAACCAAATACATTGACAATGTGTGTATAGACATTGGAGGAAAAAAACATATAAAACTGAACATTGTTTTTATATCGACATGCAGCGTTATAATGTCTGACAAATACATGAATGTCACTGAAATGCAATTAACACCTGAGAAATCCCATCAGCACGGCGATTATAATTTAATTCTTACCAGTGGCTTTATGTGACAGAAAACCCTCAGAGAACTTTAATTTTTCTAACTGTCAGGTGATGATGACGGCTAAACTTGGCACATACAGGGCGCTGATTGTTCAGAGAGGGAGCTCTGGGATTATAGGTTCCCAGCCTATAGAGATAAATACAGGTGTCGCCAGGAGCACGGCCAGATAGCAAAGGTGACAGTGAAATACATAGAACACAAAAGTGTAAGTATGTAAGGTTACTACAATTTGGTTCGTTTTTTATTATATTTATATTTTCATTATATACATACAGTGAGTGGCCAGTTTATTATCCCCAGCTGACGTTTGTTGGCAAATTAGCTATAATTAGCTATAATTTCTATAAGTTCCTAGAGGGCCAGACCATTATAAATAGGGGAGCAGGTTGTTTACCACGACAGACCTTTTTTATAGATTTTTTTAATTTTTAGTTTTTGGAGTTTGAAATTTCTTTGCATGAGTGGAATGGATGTGGATGGATTGGAGTGGAAATGCTTAAGAAATACTTTTTCCTCATAGGAAATGAAAAAAATATCCTTGTTTAAGTTGAAATAAGTGAACAGCATATTATTATTATTATTATTATTATGACCAGGGCTAAAGACTAATATAATCCATTAAAGCTACCGCAGGCATTTCACATTTGTTGTGAAGAGGGTTACAGATTCTTGTTGCAGGATTCCTTGCTGTGCAAAGTACCTCATTTCCTAAGAGCGAGGCCGCACTGAGTAGGGAGGAGGTTCAGGTAGCTCTTTAGTCAATTAAACCCATTGCTGCTTTTTTTTTTTTTATCAGGGAGATCAGGTACTTTTTTGTCTTTAATTTAATGTCTTTATTTTGGGGTTAATCTGAGGTCAGTGGTTAATTTTAGTTGCTGTCCTATCCATAGCATCTTTTTTGTGTGTGTAGCAAGTCTTCCCTTAAAAAGGTAGTATTTTTTTTTGGGGGGGGGATGGGATTTTCACATACATTGCCTGTCCAAAAAAAAAGTCACCACCTGGATTAAGCTAGGTCAGAGCCTTCCATTGGATAACAGGTTTAGGTTCAGCATCATTATGTGCCCAAAAAAATTAGGTCAGCTGACTACCTGAATATACTGAATGACCAGGTTCTTCCATCAATGGATTTTTTCTTCCCTGATGGCACATTGGGCATATTCCAAGGTGACAATGCCAGGATTCATCGGGCTCCGATTGGGCAAGAGTGGGTCAGGGAGCATGAGACATCATTGTCATACATGGATTGGCCATCACAGAGTCCAGACCTTAACCCCATTGAGAATCTTTGGGATGTGCTGGAGAAGACTTTACGTAGTGCTCCAACTCTCCCATCATCACTACAAGATCTTGGGGAAAAATTAATACAACTCTGGACAGAAATAAATGTTGTGACATTGAAATGATTCCTCAGTGAATGTGCGCCTTTATCACTCATCGGTGATGTCACTCATCGGTGTAACTTTATTTTTGTACAGGCAGTGTATGTTGGAGGTATATTGGGTTTTATTGTGTGTTAATAGCTCCTTATTTTAGGGTAAACTTATTTTTTTTTTCAAAGGATCCTTGAAAAAAGTATTTTGTTACCAGGGTGGTATTTTGACTTACATACAGCAGTTCAATGCATAGCATTCACTTGTTACTGACCTTCTGCTCTTGAAGTTGCCCTTTTTTTTCAGCAGCATGCTGCTGCAGAGTTTGAAAGGAAAGAAAACAATATGCAAGAATAGTGCATATAAACGACCTCACATTATATCACTCACCACGCCGACATTCCCATGGATAATATAAAAGTTGGGCATACACTGGTTAGGCCTATTATTCTGATTACAATTGTTCTGCTGCTGGACAAATTTTACACCGCTGTATCCACTGCAGTTCTTTAATTCTCAACTTAAAAAAGTAAAAAATTCTAAATGTAAAATCCCCACCTCTGCTCTTTGTTTTTAGTAAATACGGGCCTAGCTCTCCTCATTAAAATTGTCTTGCTGCTTGCCAGTTTTACACTGCTGTATCATCTGCAGTTTCCTAATTCTTGCCGTAAATCACCTGCCTGTACTTTTTTTTCCCCAGTCAATTCTCCCTCATTGAAAATGTCCTGCTGCCGGCCAGTTTTGCACTTATATTTTATCTGCATTCTGCTGTACTGTATGTAAGCCAAGCCATCTGCCAAAAAATAATTTGCACAGTCTAATATACACTCAAGCATGTTGGATTTGTATATTCTCAATACATTTCTTAAAGCCTCTCCCCGCTGTATGGTATTTCATCTTTTGTTGCCTTGGTAGATGTCCCTAATTCCTAGTTCATAGAGTGTTTGGTACTGGAGACCAGGGAATACTTAGCCTGCATGTTAACAGATTGAGTTCCAGGGCCACTCAGAAAATGAGAGTAACGGCAGCTGGCCTGCATGAAGAGAGCAAATAAGTTTACACTTTAATTGTTAAAATGGTATACAGCTTACCACTTTTGGCTGAAGTATAATCCCTCGCTCTCACGTCCGTGTCTCCTTCGCAGGTGTTTTTCTGGCTAAACATGATAAGCCTACACTTAGGTCTCTGCACCTTGACCATGTCTCACTTTATTAATGTACTCAGCTCGGAAACTCCCCAGTGGCATCTGGATGTGGCTGACCTAGAAGGATTGATACGGCCTGGAGATGTGATGATTGGAATTGTGTTGCCTTTTCATCTGGAAAATGAACTCCAGCGTAACACCTTCGCTAAGAGACCACGCAGGTCCACCTGCTCCAAGTAAGTGATATTTGTGGTGGGGTCTCGTGTCCTGCTCTTTAAAGTGACTCTAAACTCAGGAGTTAAATCTTAAAGATGCATTCAAGTACCTGAACTATTAACAACAATGTATCTTATTTGGGTATCACTCGGCTGTAGATCCTCCAATCATCTCTGAATTGGTGCTGACACTGTCCTTCCCCCTGGAGGGGGGCTACTTTTGTTCTCCATGGTCCCTGTGTGTGTTGTAAAGTAGTCACCACTCCAAGCTTGCTCCCATGATGGACTACAATCTCATGTTTAGTTAGATAATTTGCATTGAAGTTATAACCATGATAGGAGTGATTTTGGAGCGGTGGCTACTTTACAACACAACTCACACCTCAGACCTTGCAGGAATTAAAGGATCTGCTACTGATGGCTTGATGCCAGATACCACAGCATACCTTCAGAGGACTAGTTGAGTCCATACCACAGCATACCATCAGAGGACTAGTTGAGTCCATACCACAGCATATCTTCAGAAGACTAGTCGAGTCCATACCACGGCATACCATCAGAGGACTAGTTGAGTCCATACCAAAGCATATCTTCAGAGGACTAGTTGAGTCCATACCACGTCATACCTTCAGAGGACTGGTTGAGTCCATACCACGGCATACCTTCAGAGGACTAGTGGAGTCCATGCCTTGATGGGTCAGGGCTGTTTTGTTGGCAAAAGGGGGACCTACTCAATATTAGATGGGTGGTTATAATATAAAGGCTGATTGGTGTATATAGATAGTTACATAGTTAGTCCGGTTGAAAAAAGACACATGCCCATCGAGATATGCATTTATTATAAATGGGCCCTGCAGAGACATAGGTTGGTTTTAGTTGTGTTAAATGGGATTTTGTATGTACATGGGTATGTATTTTGTACGTACCTTTATTAGATTTAAATTGTTGTCAACATTTCTCCAAGTGACAAAGATGTGTATATAGCAAAAACCGTATTTAACAATGGAAATGTATCCGTAAAAATTTCAAGATAACAATCAATACTCTTTTGTCCTTTGTTAGTGGATTCCTTTTTATTGTGCAGGAACATGTTAAATACAAATGGTAAGTAAATACACCATATCAGTGGATCATATGAGAAAATGACTTGACAAAACCTTTACCTTTAACAAGAATAATTAATTCCACTTTACTCCTCTCATTATATAATACACCACCCAGCCAAAAAGAAAGTCAAATACTCTAATATTTAGTTGGCCCGCCTTAAGCTTTGATTATGGCACACATTCGCCGTGGCATGGTTTTGAAGATCTTGTAGTGATGATGGGAGAGTCGGACCTCTGCGTAAAGTCTTCTCCAACACATCCCAAAAATACTCAATGGGGTTGAGGTCTGGACTCTGTGGTGGCCAAACCATGTGTGACAATGATGTCTCGTGCTCCCTGAACCACTCTTTCACAATCTGAGCCTGATGAATCCTGGCATTGTCATCTTGGAATATGCCCAATGTGCCATCAGATCCATTGATGGAAAAACCTGCTCTCTACAGGAAGCAGATGACCCCATTTTGTGGGCACATAACATTGCTGAACCTGGACCTGACCAACTGAAGCCATCCCTACAGCTCTTACCTATTTGTTTAGCTAAATCCATGCAATTACTTATTTTTTTGGGGCCAGTGGGTGTATATTTTATATTTTTTTGCATTGAAGGTTTTGTATTGAGAACTTCCAGCAGTTGTTCTATTCTACTTTATTTTATGGAAACTGATTTGCTTATCAAAACTTGACTAACAAAAAAATATATTTTTTTAAATTATATTTCCTCTCACTTTACTATTGTTTACTTTGTTGATTTTTTTTTATGTTTACTTATATTAAAGGTTTAGTTCTAACTACTTCCAGCAGCTCCAAGTGATGATCTTTGCAATAGATGAAATCACAAAGAATTCTATTCTTCCCAACATCACTCTGGGCTTCCAGGTCTATGACTCCTGTATGGTGATACAGCAAACTTTAGAAGCAGTATTGCACTCGTTGACAGGAAACGGGATGGTTGTTCCCAACTACCGATGTCTTCTAGGTGCCCCCCTAAGTGCGGTCATTGGTCACCCAGCTTCCACACACTCTATACTCCTGGCTCAGGTTCTTGGGCTCCTCCGCTACCCGCAGGTAACTTACACTAAGATTTTTTTAAACTTTGATCTGAGATTTAAAGACCTGTTAATAAATGTGGATATTTAGTCACCAACGGGGGTAATGTGACAAGGGTAAATTTCAAACAAAAAGTCCTATTGTTTATGAAAACTGACCAACGGAGGAAGCAAGGGGGAATCTTTCAAATGAGGTAAAAAAAATCCTGGCACAGGTTCTGATTATTCGCTACTTTATAAAAACCTAAAATAGATTGGACTTATAAAGTATTTTTAATAGAGCTTAGGAAAAGGCTCAGTAGGGCCAGGGGCGGACCTACCGCCCGGTGCAGCCACACCGGGGCCCTGAGCCTAAGGGGGGCCCAGCACAATCCCTGTGCAGAGATGGTGGGGCTTGCCGGCCGCCAGATAGCACCGGATCAGTGGCCGGCGGGCCCCCCTATCT